AAGCCCGACAGGTCCAGAGGTCCCGAGCCCCAGCAGACAGTCACCAGGCCAGGCCGGCACACACCCCAAAAAAATTAATTCATAAAAATCAGTTAATTAATTTAGTTGTTACTGTAAAACAGCAAGTTAATTCTTTAAGACAAATTCAGTTTGATACTTGATAACATTTGGTTACAAAAGGATTTGTGATGACTTTATTTAATTTGAAGTTATATTGTGTTACTAGTAAAGCAGACAGTTGCAGTTTGATACAAGTACAAAAATGCTGACAATTTATATTGTTAAAAAATCGTGATAATAATTGTAATAAATAACTGAACAAGGCTTTAGTGAATCATTCCATCCAGCAGATTTCATTTTTTAAATCAATTGACATTTTATATAAACTCTGAATAAATACAAATAAGATTTGCGATTTTTATGTGAATTTATTTTTAAAATTTTATTTAATTTTTAAATGAATTAGTACTTTATATTTTGAATATGGCAAATACATTTTGTGCTTTTACATGTAAAATACATATAAATCACTGTTGTAGCTGTGGTTTGTTACATTTATCTATTTTATTTTTATTTTATAAAGTAATCTTAAAACTTTGAATAATGAAATATCAGTGGTATATTTTTTCATATTTTTAAGTGCTTGCAGTTTGGTTAAACAAAGCAAACACCTGTAATCACAAGCCACATCCTCACTGCAAATAACCCACATTCAGACACACACACACACACACACACACACACACACACACACACACACACACACACACACACACACGTCAACAAAACAGCCACATGTCTTCCTCTTTGCAACCATCCTCCTTTTCCTCCAACTTGTCAGTCTGTTTTTATTTCTCCTTTTCATTCATCTGTTTGTCTCTTTCTTTACTTGGAGTGGCGGGAAGGACAGGGAATTTTAGGCAGGAAGAGAATATCAGATAGTTCCTGTTTTGCTGTCTCTAAGCTGTTGTAACTTGCCGGAAGCCGGGAGCACACACGTGTGTGTGGGCACGTTTTTGCTACATTGTGGGAACCAATTTCCAGAAAAGGTCTGCTTCAAGGGGACCGAATGTACATCGTAGGGATAAAGGCCCAGTCCCCACAGGTACGGTATGCTAATTTTGGGTGGGTGGGGGTGGGGGATCGGTTAAGGACCAAGGTGTGAATTGAGTTTAGGTTAGTTTTAGGGTCAGATATGTACCCGTGAGGTTAATTTTAAGGTAAATCGTCAGGGTTAGGCTATAAAATTACCAAAAAATGAATGGAAGTCAGTGCAAAGTTCCCACAGAGATATAAAAACAAACCTGTGTGTGTGAGAGAGAGACAGAGTCCACTRCAAAAAAATAGGATGTGGAGAAACAAAGGCCTATTGTCTTTGCCCACACACTGCACAAACATGCACAGTTGATATAATATACAAATACCTCCACAGACTGCATCACACATAAGTGAACCCGTTTCACCTCAGGATGCAAAATATTTAGTTTTTTTATTGCCAAAATGAAATATGCTACATATTTAAAAATGGTACAAAAATGAAGCAAATTTATATTATAAATTTAATAAGGAAAGAAACTTAACAGCAAAAGTGCAAAAAAAAGCATTTGTTCTGGTATTAACATGAATGTTTATCAAAACAGTGGTTGTTTAAATGACATATTTGTAACTTATTCTCCTGTACAATCCATATTGTAGAGTTATTTGGGGCAGCCATGGCAGAGTCATCCTGGAACCAGAAGGTCACCGAGTCGATCCCTCGTCCAGCCTTCTTAGTCATTGTGTCCTTGGACAAGACATTTCACGCACCTTGCCTACTGATGGTGGTCAGAGGGTCCGGAGGCTGTCAGTGTGCCCCAGGGCAGCTGTGGCTACAGTGTAGCTTACAATCATCAGTGTGTGAATGTGTGTGTGAATGGAATAGAATAGAATAGAAATAGCCTTTGTTGTCCTGCCGAGGGGAAATTCAGGTGTCACAGCAGCATCCGTACAGAGGTTCACACACTAGTTATTTTACTAACTATAGATAGTGCACACAAAACACTGACTAGCCATGATACGACTACCGTATTTTTTGGACTTTAAGCCGCACCCACCATTTTTTTTAAAAAACGCGCGAACATCAACATATAAGCCGCACCGGACTATAAGCCGCACCCCCCACCCCCCATCAGTAAAAACAAAAACAGCTGCACCGCCCAGCCCCCATCAGTAAAAACAAAAACAG